GCACAGTATGGTAATAGAAGCAGCTAAAGAAAAGCAGCCTGTGAAATTGCCACATTAGGAAATCTGCAGAGGGGGATCTCTGGGTGGTTCAGTGGTTTGGCGCCTGCCTTTGGCCCAGGGCGTGATCCTGGTGTCCCAGGGATCAGGATCACACCCTACGTCAGGCTCCCTGCATGGACCCTGCTTCTTCCTCTGCCTGTCTCTCTCTCTCTCTCTCTCTCTCTCTCTCTCTCTCTCTCTCGAATAAATAAATAAAATCTTAAAAGAAAAAAAAGGAAATCTGCAGGGGAGAGGAAGGGTTACGTTAGGAGGGTTAGCAGTGCTAAGGGAAAAGGAGGTGAAGGCTCTAGCCATGGGGAGCAGGTGGCCCAGAACAAGCGGCAGGGAGGGGGAAGCTGCTGGGATGAACCAAGCATGTGCAACCATCTGTGGTTGTACTAAAGGTGCAATATCCGAGGTGTACTAAGAGCATAAGGTCTCAGATGTCCCTGGGAAGGGAGCAGGATGGGACTGGCATAACAGGGTTGAAGGCGGCTGGTGGTGTGGCTGGAAGAAGGGAAGTGTTACTATAGGACATGATGGTGGCAGGTGTGAGAGGAACAGGAGAGTGTGATGAGAGCAGGCACAGACTCCAGGTCTAGGAGTGGGAACCAGAGGCCAGCTGCCCTGGCTGGCCAGGGAGGGGGGCAGCTGGCAGTGTGTGAGCAAGACTGAGGACTCCAGAGGTGAACTCAGATCCAGAGACCATGATGTGATGGGGACACAGGCCAGGGGGCGGGAGCATCTGAGCAGACCTGCTAAGTCCCTGTCCCTGGAACCCGACAGGGCGGCAGATGCCCTCCTAAAGGCAGTGGCAGCCAGCAGTGTCGCTGAGAAGGCTGTGGAGGCAGCTCGAATGGCCAAACTGATAGCCCAGGACCTGCAACCCATGTTAGAGGCCCCAGGTGAGGCGTGGGCAGCCCGGGGAGCTGGAGGGGCTCACGTGTGGGGGAAAGGGAAGGAAGTCCCTGCAGAGGACTGGGGTGGGAAAAGCCAAGGTTTGAAGCTCTAAGGGGATGAGGGTGGGGGCCACACCCAGTTGTTTGGGGAGTGGAATTGGGAATTTATAAAACAGGGTAATAAGGACTAGGGGTCTGCGGTCTGGTTCCAAGAGGCTAGGGTGGCAACATCCTGGGAGGTGCCCAGACAGGATAAAGCTCTAGTTTTTGCTGCCCCAGGCCAGTTAGGCCCCTCTGATTCTTAGCTATCCCTGCCACAGGCCGCAGACCCAGGCAGGACTCAGAAGGTTCTGACACAGAGCCCTTGGATGAGGACAGCCCTGGGGTATACGAGAATGGACTGACCCCCTCAGAGGGCTCCCCTGAACTGCCCAGCAGTCCTGCCTCCTCCCGCCAACCCTGGCGACCCCCTGCCCGCCGGAGCCCACTGCCTCCTGGAGGGGACCGGGGTCCCTTCTCCAGCCCCAAAGCTTGGCCTGAGGAGTGGGGGGGCCCCAGTGAACAGGCAGAGGAACTAGCTGGCTATGAGGCTGAGGACGAGGCTGGGATGCAGGGGCCAGGGCCCAGAGACGGTTCCCCACTCCTCGGAGGCTGCAGCGACAGCTCTGGAAGTCTTCGAGAGGAGGAAGGGGAGGACGAAGAGCCCTTGCCCCAGCTGAGAGCCCCAGGGGGCTCGGAGCCTGAGCCCATGGCCACACCGGTCCTGAAGGGCCCATCCTTGAGGGGTCCTGAGGCCAGGTGCCTGACGGAAGAGGTTGAGGAGCCTGCTGCAACTGAGAGGCCCGCCCAGCCGGTGAGCTGCCCTCCGTCCCCGCGTTGTGGCCCCTTTCCACCTCAAAGCCTTGCCTCTCATCCTGTCCAGACCTCTCTCTGATTCCTTCAGGGGCTCTGATTTGGACTCAGCTTCCTTTCTGCCTGCCCATTCTTGGACTATATCCCACCTTAAAAAAAAAAAAAAAAAGAGGGAACTTGTGAGCTGCAAGCAGCCTTAGAAACCATCTCCAGCTCCCTCATTTGACAGATGGGGGAACTGAGGCCCAGAGCACTTATAGTAATTTGCCCAAGGTTACCAGTAAGGAACGGTAGAGCCAAAACATCTTTCTCTGTTCTCCTTCCATATCATTTCCAGCTCCTGGCTTCCTACCCCACCCCCACCCCCACCTCCACACTTTCTCTCTTTGGTGCCCAGAAATAAAAAAGGAAAAGCTTGTTCCCTCCCTACCCTGGCTCTCCCTCCCTCTCCTGGGAAGAAGGGAAATGCGAAAGGAGGCAGAAAACTGGGAGGGGTGGAGTTTCCCAGAACCCTCTACTCTGATTGGACGCCAGACCTCCTACGGTTTCCTAGCAACCACATCCTCACCCCTTCATCCCTCTCTGCTTTACCGCAGTAAGAGGGCTGCTGCCAACGTCTGCTACTAAGGCCAGGCACCTTCTGCCTGGGCCACGTGACTTGCCAGTGAGATGGGAGTTGTGGGGGGGGGGGGTTGGAAGGGCTGTTCCTGACTGAGGGAGCCAGAGGGAAGGAGGGGCCCTGCCTGGGAGGAGACAGGTGTTTTTGCGATCCAGAACAAAGGTTGGAGATGCCCCTGGCTCTGACCTTACCCTCAGTTTGCCGCTTCTGCCAGGGCAGAAGGTGGGACCTGTCGCTGGACATAGTTGTCAGGGGCTGAGACTGCCTTTCTCCCTATCTCTCTAGGGAGCTGCCAACCCGCTGGTGGTGGGAGCCGTGGCCCTCCTGGACCTCAGCCTGGCGTTCCTGTTCTCCCAGCTCCTCACCTGAGGCTCCTGCCCAGCCAAATTCTGGCTTTGGTTGCTGCCTCTTCACTTCTTTGACCTGCCTTTTTCTCCTTTCCTCCTCCTGGTTGTTTTTTCTCCTTTCTTTCTCTTCTCCCTTCCCTTTCTTCCTTGTCCCCCTTTGATTTTGTCTTTTGCTTTTTCTTTCCAGCTCTCCTTTCAGACTCTCTCATTTACTCTGGATCTGTCTCTGTCTTCCCTCCCCACCCCACCCCCACCTCTCTCTCTAGATTGTTTACATATGAAGGGCTTTTCTTGCTCAGAGTTGCTCTCTTCTCTGAGACACACAAATCTAAGTCAGACCATTGCCCCATGTCTTCCCCGCCTTTTCTTTAGACCTGAACTTTGATGAGGGTGGGGGTTTGGGGTCCTGAGGAGTCTTTTGGAAGCTGAGTAGAAAGGAAGAAGAAAACAGAGAAGGGATGACTGTATACCGGGCAAGGCACTGGCTGAGCTGCTGTGGCTCCCTGACCCAAGGGGCCTGGTGTCCCTGTGTGGCCCTAGTGAAAGAGGCAGAGGAGGAGCGGCCTCCATCTCTGACCTTGGAGGAGCCTATCTCACCTCCAAGCGTTGAGCTAGGTTCTTGCCTAACTCCATCCTTCCCTGAAGGAGATAAGGGAGATGAAAAGTAGAATGACTCCCTAGGATCTCCCTCTTCCTTTCCTCAACGGCCAGCCCCTCGTCCGACCCCCTGGGGTGGCATGCCTTGTCAAGAGCAATGTGTAAAGGAAAGAAAATGTCCGATGCTGTCACGTCTACCCATTGACCTCTCCCACCCTCCTCTGTCCCCCTAATAGTTTATTTGATTGGTCTGGACTCACTTGTGGCCTTTGATTAGATTTCTAAGGGGCCTGAAGAAGACATTTCTACTGCAGAGGGTTAAAGGCACTTGAGCTAGGACCCCACTCCCCAGCTCTGGCAGTTGTGGCGTGGGGGTGGGGGGGAGGCATTTCCAGGGAACACAACCAGCCTAGATAACAGGAACTCACAGAGCAGCAGAAGCTGTGACGAGTTTAGTAGTTTCTAAGTGGGTTATATCCCTTCCCCCTCACATCAGAATCTTGTGAAATGGGAAAACAACAGAAAGAGGGATCAAAGGAAGCCAGTCTCTCACACACTTTCCAGGCAGGGCAGAGGTGGGAGTCAAACCAGGGTGAGAGGTGGGTGGAGAGCCCTGTTTGAGGTTGTGGCTGATCCCTGTTAATAGCTTTCCCCTGGGGGCAGGAAGCCCTAGGAAGAGGGGGACCCCTCTGTAGGGTCCCCAGGGGATCTTTCCTCCCTCCCCTGCATGAGGCAGATGCGAGCTGCCTGCCAACCCCCTCCCTCAAGGAATGGCCTTGCCTGGGAATGCCCACCACATATACCCTCTTCTTTTTTTCTAGTCAAACTCTGTTTACTCCTTGGCCTGCCTCCCTTCCTTCCCTCTAAACCTTTACTTCTGATTTCTATTTCATGGAATTTGGGATTGAAGTTAAACTACAACAGTGCCGCCAACACCAAGTCTTGCAGGAAAAAAAAATACAAAGAAATTTAACAAAAAAATATATTAATAAAAAAGTTCAAAAAAGGGGGGGGATTGTCATCTCCTTTGGGGTGCGATGGCTTCAAATCCAAACTCTCTGAGGGCCTCTGGGTGGTGAGAGTGTACAAAGAGGCCTCTTGGGGAACCCAGGCCTGCGATGCAGTCTTGCCGCCGGAAGAGCTCTTTGCCCTCGACTCCCAAGCCTGAAGACGGAGGTCAGAGGATTCTAGACCGCTCTGCGGGGCGGCCCGGGGGGCGGGGTCCCGTGACGGGCGGGGGGGGCGGAGAGAGGGAAGGACCAGACCAAGTACCAACCCCCGTCGGGCCGCGCACCAGGAAGCGCTGGGGGGAGAGGAGCGGAGTGGAGACCAGCCAGGTGAGGCTGTCGTTAGGGCTGGCGTCCCGGTGTGAAGCTGAGGCCGCCTGAGGCGTGACCTTGGCGGGGAATCCCGCGGAAGAGGTAGCGCAGGACCCTGGAAGGAAAGGAAAGGCCGAGCTAGGGATGGGAAAGCAGGTGGGGCCGAAGGACCTGGGGGCGGGGGGCGGGGGGCGGGGGGCGGGGGGTGGGCGGGGCTCTGGCGCAGGCTCCGTAGGAGCAGGCAGGGCGGGGACGCATGCGTAGTGGGGATCTCCTCCCGCGGGGGGCAGGGGGCGGAACTTGGAAACCCAAGTGGGAAAAGGTAAATGCAGGCTGTTTTAGGGTAGCTGCGGGACCCGATCCTTCAGGATCTTGGCACAGAGCGAGCCAGGGCTGGAAGGCCAGGCACCCCCGGCCCGAGAGGTTTAAAGCCCTCTCCCATTTCCGGGCTCTGCCCCTTCAGGATGGTGGTGCCTTCGCTGAAGCTTCAAGATCTAATCGAGGAGATCCGTGGGGCCAAGACCCAAGCCCAGGAGCGGGAGGTGATTCAAAAGGAGTGCGCCCACATCCGCGCCTCCTTCCGCGATGGGGACCCTCTGCACAGGCACCGCCAGCTGGCCAAACTGCTCTACGTCCACATGCTGGGCTACCCCGCCCACTTTGGACAGGTACTGGGCAGGGACGCCTCCCTTCTGAGCTTGATGAGGGAGGCTAATGGGGCAGGATCTTGAGCACCCTCACCTACTTGCGCCCGGATTTTTTTTATTTTACAAGGTTTCTGAGCCCTCCTTCACAGCCTACACCGCCGACCTCCTTCTCCAATGCAACCCCTATTGGTCAGAAGCTGACTGAACCCTTCATTTTCTGGCCAGCCCCATTCAAGCCGCCTCTTTTTCTTTCCCAGCTTCCTTGACTCCCGGTTCCTTGAAACTGACTACCCAATAGCTTTGAACGTACGAAGCCTTTTCTGTATTGAAGGGAGGATGATGGGAAACGGTGCTACTACAAATTAATCCGGTGGTAAAGATAGAAAAGAGATGTTAGTGCCTCCAGTTTCACCCCTGCCCCTTCCTGGTCTGCCCCGTTCCCCGTAGATGGAGTGCCTGAAACTGATCGCCTCCCCCAGATTCACAGACAAGAGGGTGGGCTACCTGGGGGCCATGCTTCTACTGGATGAGAGGCAGGATGCCCATCTGCTCATTACCAACAGCATCAAGAAGTGAGAGGGTTCTGGGAAGCACTTGGAATCAGGGAGGTGGGAGAGTGGGGAGCTGGGAAATCCCAGGGGCTGCCTGATATAGGTACTGGGAAGGATGGCTTTCTCGGAGCTTGCCTGACCACCCTCCCAACTCTGCAGTGACCTGAACCAGGGGATTCAGGTGGTGCAAGGCCTGGCCCTGTGTACTCTGAGCACTGTGGGCTCTGCTGAGATGTGCCGGGACCTGGCCACTGAAGTGGAAAAACTGCTCCTGCAGCCTGGCTCCTATGTGCGCAAGAAGGTGAGATGGCAGGACTCTAGGCACTTGTCCCACCGCAAACTGTCCTGTTTGCCATGTGTTAAAGGTGGGAGGTCCGGGCAGCCCCGGTGGCGCAGCAGTTTAGCGCCGCCTGCAGCCCAGGGTGTGAGCCTGGAGACCCTGGATCAGAGTCCTGCGTCGGGCTCTCTGCATGGAGCCTGCTTCTCCCTCTGCCTGTGGCTCTGCCTCTCTCTCTCTCTCTCTCTCTCTCTCTCTCTCTCTCTCTCTCTCTCTGTGTGTGTGTGTGTGTGTGTGTATGTGTGTCTCTATGAATAAATAAAATCTTTAAAAAAATAAAAAATAAATAAATGTGGGAGGTCCATCCTTGCAGACCCCTGCCCCTTTCTGAGCCCCCTCCCCCTGGTCTCTGCAGGCTGTTCTGACTGCCGTGCACATGATCCGGAAGGTCCCGGAGCTCTCCAACATCTTCCTCCCACCCTGTGCCCAACTGCTTCATGAACGCCACCACGGTAAGACCACAGGGCTGCCTGTCCGCTGCCTGTCCCCTGCCTCACCTGGCTATGGACAGAAGTGAAAAATGGGAAGGGCACAGCAGCCCATAAGAGGAGGGTAGCATGTCCAGGACACACACACGCAGTAGATTCTCCTGTGCCCCTGTCCCATCATTCACTTCCCCACCCCCGGCCCCACACCAGGCATCCTGCTGGGCACCATCACGCTGATCACGGAGCTCTGTGAACGAAGCCCTGCAGCCCTCAAGCACTTTCAAAAGGTGGGCTGGTGAAAGGGGCCGGCCCTGGGCCAGGAAAAGGGGACTGGGGTTGGAATGGGGCTGAAGGTTGAGAGGATGAGGAAGTATGCCCGGTGAGGCTGTGCCCCTCTCCCCCAGGTGGTGCCCCAGCTGGTGCAGATTCTCCGGACTCTGGTGACAACAGGATATTCCACAGAGCACAGCATATCTGGAGTCAGCGACCCCTTCCTGCAGGTGCGCTAACCCTTTACTGCTGTATCCCTGGAGCAAAGAGCTTAGCAGTAAGTCCGTGGCTAGCGACCACCTCCCAGAGAACACTTGGGGTCAGTGAGTGTCTTAGGCAGAAGGGTGGCAGGCACAGGATCACGCAGATTGTCTCAAGACTGATGCGGGAAGGTGTGATGCCTAAAGGTCAGAAATCCAGTTTGGTAACAACAACAAAAAAGCCTGTCTAAATCCCCTGGCCTCACATGCCTTGGCTCTCCTAGGACCCAAGGGACCTGTGCAGGAGAGGGAGAGGGGCAGGGAAACTCGAGGAAACCAGCCAGACCCCTCATAATATTTTCTTCAACCCTGGATTTTTCTCTTCAACCCTACTCCTTACCATCTTTGAACCCCTCTACCTTTCAATCTTTAACCCATCTCAGGTCCAGATACTTCGTCTGCTTCGGATTCTGGGCCGGAACCATGAAGAAAGCAGTGAGACCATGAATGACTTGCTGGCTCAGGTGGGGCGCTGGAGAGTGGCACTGGTTAGGTGTGTTGCTCTGAGATCCTACCAGCCCTGGGTACCCCTCTCATGACCACCCACCCCATGGTGGCCATATAATCACCTCCCTGCTGCCCTCTAGACTGTGATCACCAAGTGTGGCAGCCCCTGGCACACCATGGGGGCTTGGAGAACTTTGTCAGATGATGAACGGGTGATGAGGTGGATACCTTCTAGAGACCTGAAGCAAGGACAGAGCCCCTTCTAGTTGCATTTTCTCTCCCATCCACTCAGGTGGCCACTAACACAGACACCAGCCGAAATGCGGGCAATGCAGTCCTATTTGAGACGGTGCTGACCATCATGGACATCCGTTCTGCCACCGGCTTGCGGGTATCATCCCATATGTCTCTCCCAACCCCAGCCAGGCAGACAGGTTCTATTCACTGGTTTTTCCTCCCCACCCATCATCCTGTGCCCTGCCGTCAGCACTCCTTAAAGAGCAGGTTGCTCCTTCCCTGACTTTCCTCAACCTTTGCCTTCCATAGGTTCTGGCTGTCAACATCCTTGGCCGCTTTCTGCTCAACAGTGACAAGAACATTAGGTAATAGTCCAGGGGTCTGGCTGGGCTGTGCCACTGAGCCCCTGGCCCTTGAGCCTCCTTCTTCCAGAGTCTCCTGATTTACCTTCCTGTTATCCCAGTACTCGAAGCAGGATGGGGCAAGGAGGGGGCAGAGGACCATGGTGTGATCTAGGTCCTCTCCCACTCTGGCCAGGTATGTTGCCCTGACGTCATTGCTGCGTATGGTGCAGTCTGATCACAGCGCGGTGCAGCGGCACCGGCCCACTGTGGTGGAATGTCTACGGGAAGTCGATGCCTCCCTTAGCCGGTGAGCAGGACAGAGGGTCCCGTACCTGGTGGCTAAGACCTAGGCCAGCTCAGAGCAGCTGAAGGAGAGGGATTAAGGGGACAGGAAGGGCCTGAGGCATAGCTCAGGGTGACCTGGCAACCCGGGATAGACAGACCTCTTTCTCCTGCCAGGAGGGCCCTGGAGCTGAGTCTGGCTCTGGTGAATAGCTCCAATGTGCGAGCCATGACACAAGAGCTACAGAGCTTTCTGGAATCCTGCTCCCCTGATCTACGGGCCGATTGTGCCTCAGGCATCCTGCTGGCAGCAGAGAGGTGAGGTGACAGGTGCCCAGGAGGCAAAGACAATAGAGTCTGGGGAGGGTCAGCACCAGGGCTGAAGAGGCATATGTCCCCTAGGTTTGCCCCAACCAAGCGGTGGCACATAGACACCATCCTGCGTGTGCTGACAACGGTGAGGCAGGGACTGATCTAAGAGAACTGGGAGGGAGTGGACAGGGTTTACCACCCTGACATGGCCACATTCACCCCTTCCAGGCAGGCACCCATGTACGGGATGATGCGGTGGCCAACCTGACACAGCTGATTGGGGGTGCCCAGGAGCTACATGCCTACTCTGTGCGCCGCCTCTACAGTGCCCTGGCAGAGGACATCTCCCAAGTACTGTTCCCACCACCAGAACCAGGGCCTCCTGCCCTTCCTGGGCCACTTACTCCCTATACCCGATGCCCAGCTGTTTTTCTCTGGGGATCACAGCTACCTACTTACTAGAGACACTCAAGGATAGAGCCCTGTTATTTATTTATCTATCTATCTATCTATCTATCTAGCCCTGTTTTTATTTAGAACACCTGGTCTTCTGTCCTGGCTCTAGTACCTACTGGCTGTGTAACCACAGATGACTAATTGAAGTCTCTGCACTGAGTGTAATCAACTCTCAACCCTGCCTACCTCTCAGAGCTGTCTTTTGAGGATCAAATGAGATAGTGCTCTTTCTGCATGTATCAGGTTTTATTACCTTGGGTGCTGAGTAGATTAAGAAGAACCAGCCACTATCTATCTACAGTCCATTTTCCGTATTAAGTCGGGTGGGCAGAAACCACATACCCCCCCTCCCCCCTTCCTCAAGAGAGGGACCCTCTAGCTTCGTTCTCCTTTAGCCCCTTTTGGTGAGCCTATGTAGTTCTGATACTTGGCCACCAGAGGGCAGAAGACATCCAAGAGCCAGGAAAGGGGAGGGGAGAGGACACAAACTCTTTATAAACTTCCTATGCAAGACCCTTCCCTTTCCCCAGCTCTCCAAACCCCACAATCTCTGCACTGCATAAAAGGAGGTTCCCGGGCTCAGAAGTGGGGAGGGGACCCAGGACCTCGCCTAGCATCTTTTCTTACCACGCACAGCAACCACTGGTGCAAGTGGCAGCCTGGTGCATTGGAGAATATGGGGACCTCTTGCTGGAGGGGAGCTGTGAGGAGACTGAGCCCCTTCAGGTGAGACCTACATTGGATGCACACTGTGGAGGGACTTGGCAGAAAAGGCAGGATGCCCCAGGGTTATTGCCTGTGTCCCTCACCGAAGGTGGAGGAAGAGGATGTGCTGGCCCTGTTGGAAAAGGTGCTGCAGTCCCATATGTCCCTGCCAGCCACCCGAGGATATGCCCTGACTGCCCTCATGAAGCTCAGCACCCGGCTCCGTGGGGACAACAAGTAAGTAATGGTCCTAGCCCCTCCATAGACCATCGTCTTGGTGCTTCTAGTGACAGATGCCCCTCCCTGTCCATGCACACACCCCCAATTCCCCCAACCCTTAGGTTCTTCCTTCTGAGCCTTTTGAGTATTGCAGGTAGCCCCCCACTCTGCGGGGCTTTTCCCTTCCGTGCCACATCCTGGGGTGGAAGGGCAGGGCAGGCTGCCATTCCCACTCACACATCACCCTGTGGCTCAGCCGCATCCGCCAGGTGGTGTCCATCTATGGGAGTTGCCTGGACATGGAGCTGCAGCAGCGGGCCGTGGAGTATAACATGCTCTTCCGGAAGTACGACCACATGAGGTGTGACCATTACTGTGCTGCAACGTAGGACCCAAACCGCTGCCCTCTTGCCAGATGACCTCTCCCCAGTGCCCCTTTCTGGGAAGGGTCTCATCCTCACCTATGTCCTTCCTCCTCTACAGTCAGGGCCTCCCACCCATAGTTCATTGAAGCCAAGTGGCTTCCAACCCTCCTTGCTCATCTGAAAACCAGCAACAACAGTGTGCCATCTTAGGAAATCAGAAAGGCACTCCAACCCACCATGTGCCCGGGTGGGCACGGTCTTACCCTTCCTCCCATATGCTGCTTATGAAAAGCCCAGGGTCTGCCCAGACGGACACACCTGTATTCCATCCTCTCAGGGCTGCCATCCTAGAAAAGATGCCTCTTGTGGAGCGAGGTGGCACTCAGGATGAGGAGATAAAGGAAAGCAAAGAAGCTCAACTTTCAGAAGCCAGTCTTGTTCCCACAGAGCCACAGGTGAGAAGGCCGGAAGCCCCAGGGGGAAGAGGACTTGTTCGGCTTTCACACCTAGCCCTGCTCCTTCTGCCCTTTCCCCCAGGCCTCTGAGCTCTTGGATCTGCTAGATCTCCTGGATGGCACTTCCGGGGCTGCCCAGCCCCCACCTCCTCTGGAACCCTCCCCAGGAGCTGTTCTAGTACACCTCCTCGACCTGCCCTGTGACCTGCCCTCTGCATCTCCACCCCCAGGTAAGCCTCAGTAAAGGGCAGATGAAGACACCTTAAGAAAAGGAGGGGTGGAAATGTGCTGTTCCTCCTTCTTTGCCAAGGACCGAGGTCCCCATGCCCTCTTCCGTGCTGTGAACCCCCCATCACATCTCCATCTTAATAGGTAAGAGGGTTCATTAACTTGTGCCAGCTCCCTCCTGGATAGCCCTCAATGCCTTCCCTTTGTTCCAAACTTCTTACCCTGTCCTGTGGGGCCCAGGTGCCGAATCCCAACCCATCTTTTATGCTTTCCTGCTCCACTGGCCCTTCTCAGCTCCTCAGGCCCTCTCACCAAAGCCCTTTGCAATTTGTGCTCCTTTTACACAGAATATTTTTGCCTAGCACATTAAATGACTGGCTCATTCTCATTCTCCAGGCCTCAGCTAAAATGTCAATTGCCTGCTCCTGCCACTCTTGTTTAAGTTATTACTCCCAGTTATTCTGACATGGAATATTTTCTTCATGGCACCAATTAATCTGTGATTCTTGTGGTTTTCTTGTTTATTGTTTTACTGTTTTTCTCTGCCCACTAGACTCTCAGCTCCAAACAGGGACTTCATCTTCTTGTCCACTTTGTCACTAGCATCTAAAGGACTGCCCTGCACCCAGTGGATGCTCACTTAATTTCTATTGAATGAATGAATAAGCTTGTTAGTTTTGCCCATACGCTGAGCTGCTTCTCTCTCCCATACTCCAGCTTCCATCCCAAATCTCAGAGTGTTTGAACGTGAAGGACTTCAGCTGAATCTGTCTTTTGTTCGACCCCCTGGAACTCCTGCTTTGCTCTTAATCACCATCACTGCTATCAACACCTCAGAGGCTGATGTCATCCACTTCATCTGCCAAGCTGCTGTGCCCAAGGTTTGTAGAAGACCAGGATTCAAAGTGGCCTGGGCACTCCAGGAGAAAAGGCCAAGCAGAGGAAGTGGGTGGGGGGAAAAATGAGACAAGCGCTTGGGAAGTTATGGGAAGAAGGTTTGAAACTGTTGGGTGTGGAGGGGTTGCCTGAGCCCAGCTAGCTGCCTTACTGTGCTCTGCCCAACCTCCTGTGTTCAGAGTTTCCAGCTGCAGCTACAGGCTCCTAGTGGGGACACAGTTCCAGCTCACAGTGGCCTTCCAGTGACCCAGCTGCTCAGAATCCTCAATCCTAACAAGGTGAGCTTAGGAGCGCCCACCCACACCCCACCGCCTGGTGATAAGGGCCAGGGACAGGAGAAATCACAGGTGCTAACCCTGGTCTCCCCTCATATTCCTAGGCTCCCTTGAGGCTAAAGTTGCGCCTTACCTACAACCACTTTGGCCAGTCGGTGCAGGAGATCTTTGAGGTGAACAACTTGCCCATGGAAACATGGCAATAACTCAGCCTCCACTCAGTCTGAAATCCTCCTGTGTCCCAAACTCTCCAAGGTCCCAGCCACTCAGAGCCTGTACCTGACGGCTGCCAGCAGATGGCGCTCTGGTCCTGCACTTGCCTCTGCAAAATCCATGGGGGGTGCCCCCCCCACACCTCTCACGAATAATGAAAGCCCAATAAAGCCTGAGGGGGGAAAGCCATATTTGGGTATATTTGAGATAGAAAATGTTTATGAATCATAGCAAGGGAAGAGTCTCTTTATCTTGAAGTCTGTATTTTCCCTTGATCCTGTTTCAACAAAGGAGGGTCATTTCTACCCTCTCCAGGTTGGGGAGCAAATTTGCCTCTAAACCTCCAAAGGAAGCACTCTACCATTTGGACCTGAGTAGGGCACAGTAGCAAAGTAAAACCAGGACTTACAGATTTCTAACAGGGATTCCACCCACTTCCCCAACCCGCTGCTACTCCCTGCACCCCAAGGCAGGGAAATCCCTGCTGCCTCCCCTCATCTCTAACTCAGCTGTAAGGCGGTTTAGGAGCTGCTGGCAGAATCAATGGCATCGACCAAGGGAGGTGGGGTGGCAAGGGATTTTCCTGTGCTTAACTACTGATCACGGCTAAGTGGAAATCCTATAAACACGAGCGGAAATCAATGGAGGCTGCTTAGCGGCCAGGGGAGAGGGGCGGCCCACAGATTGTGTCTGACGGATGAGGGAGAGGAGGCAGCCAGGGAGGGCTCAAGGAAGGATAACTGAGAGTAAAGTGAAAACAGGCAGAGCTGAAGAGAGAGGAGCCACTGGGGAAGAAGGCCAGGGAAGGAGGCATAGTGAGCCCAGAAAAGAACCCTATTAAACCCAGAGTTCTCTTCCCTGCTGAGGAAGTGACACCCTAGCCCAGGCTGCTGTCAGGAGCTTTAGTCCCCTGTGGCTTCTTGCTGGGGCTGAGTACTTCTAGCAGGTGCTGATAGTCCTGAGGCCGGAAGCGCTGTAGGTACACGATCAGCTTGGCAGGTGCTTTCTCCTGTACTGGCACACCTGCAGGCAAAAGGAGAATGAGGAGAGAACCAGACAGAGCCTTAAATGCTTTGACTCTGCTCCCTGCCCACATAGCCAGACCCCAAAGTTGTTTCCAAGGCAGCACTGAGATTCTGAATGCCATCCAACCAGTTTCTATAACCCATCAGTGCACACCCTGATTGGCCTATGCAAGTGGGGCCTACAAGGGCCACTTCAGGCAGGGGCTGGGCTGGGAAGCCAAGCATTAGCCTCTGCTCCAGCAAGGAGAAATGGTGAAGAGTTCAGGTGCCATGAAGACAGGCCAAAGCTCTTAAGGTTGGTAATGAAGCACATGCAGAGATGCATACAGAAACAGGGCTATGGAAAGAAGCAGCAGCTATAGCCATGGCGTGGGAATCACACAGAATTCTAGCCTCTATGTGGTCCGGAGCCATGATCAGTCATTGTCTTATTGTTAGAGCCTGGAAGCACACTGTGCATATAGCAGAAAACTCAGCTCAGTGTATGTCTGCTGAGAAAGTGAGAGCAACATTCCAGGACTTTAAGGCCTCATGGGATGTGCAACCCCATCCTTCTGTGGATGAACTGTCTACAGAAAATCTGCCACGACTTGTGCTATGGTCTGTCACATAAATGCAGTGTTCTTGCCTTTTATTTAAAGCCAACAGGACACATTAAATGAGGATCTAGGTAGTTGTAAAAACGAGAGGACAGGGTTTGGGGGATGGAAAGAGTCAAGCAAAGAATGGACACAAACTTGGGAGTGGCTGGAGATGTAAGAACTAAATGAGGCAAGGACTAGGGGAAATGAGGGACAAGAAAGGATCCGATACAGGTTAGGCAGCTTCTGTAAAAGCAAACTAGGACCTCCAAAACATTGCCCGGACAATCCCCATTACAGAAATAACCCCAAGGCCCTCCCCTCTAACTGGTTCAGGGGGTACATCCAGAAGAGGGATACGGAAGGAAAGAAGGCACAGAAGGGTTTGTCTCCCTCACCAAGCATGCTGCTGAGGCTGTGGATCTTCTCTAGGGCAGCTGGGATCTCAGCCTCCTCATGCACCAGGGCCTCTACCTCACCCACTGTGTAGCCAAAGTCGGCTGTATCCAGGTCCACCCTGAGTGGAGGCTCCTCTTCCTCAGCTCCAGATAGCACCAGCTTCCAGGCACTACGCTTAGTCACAAAACTAGCTACTTCCTGCAGCTTCAGTGGGCCCAGGACAGCAGCCACACCTCCAGCCCCCAGGACCTCAGTGCCTAGTACCTCACAGAGCTGGGCCACAATGGCAGACTCAACTATGAGTTCCACATACTCAGTGTGGGGTCCCGAGACACCTGGCCTTCCAGGACATTTGAGCTCCCATCCACTACCCTCGCGCTGTCGCAGCCAGTGGTCAGCCCGCATGAGGCTCAGCTCAGGGGTGTCGTAGTAGCTGTCGCGGAAGGTGACGCGGTGCTCCAGGGTGCCCCCCAACTCCTGCAGCCGATCCTCTGTGTCAGGCCCAGGAACGAATTTTCGCTCCACTTCAATCAAGGCCTGGGTCATGCTACCTGCAATCAGTAAGTCAACAAACATTTGCTGAGCTCCGAAGGGTGCTCAGCCTTGCTGGGTGACAGTTCAGCAAACCGCCCCCCCCCCAAAGAATTTATGAGGCACACATTGTCACAGAGCTCTGTGTTGGGGCTACAGCTCTTTCTACCTGCCTCAGTGATGGATGGCCCCGTTTGTCTCTGATGTCTTAACGTTCTGCAAGTCACAGATCTCCAGGTAATCCCTTACAACTTTGATGATGTCCTCAATCCAAAAGCCTCCCCAGAAAACTAGTGGGTGTCCTCCTTTCAAAATACTCGCCCTCTGTACCTTGCTACCCCGGTGGCCTGTGGCTCACTTCCGGCAGCGACACCGCCCTTCGCCACAGCACCGGGCCAGGCCCGCGGAGCCTCGGGTCTCACCTCAAAGCCCGAGGGTCTCCTTTTCGCGAGACCTGGAGATGGCGAGGGGAGCCTACGCCACGCCCGCGAGGAATGCCGGGAGCAGTCCCTGGCCTCGGACCTCGGCCCGGCTCTCTGCGCACCACGCCGCTCCCCGGCACGAGCGGCCATATTAGGCCTGATGTGGCGGTGCTAAGCACAGGCCCGAGAGGCCTGCTAAATGATAGGGGGTCTGCGACCTCCGCGGTGGGCCAGGAGCGCAGAAGTACCCCTGCGCTCTGCTCCTCATGTCCGACCCCTCCCGGTTCCCGGGGGTGGGCTGGGGTCTCAGACCTCAGCCTGAGCCCGGCACCCGGGGCCCGGGTGCATGATGGGAGATGTAGTTCCGAAGGGAGATTTTGCTTTCTCGGCCCACCCGTCGCTATGGTGACAAGGAAAGCTGCTGTTAGTGCCCGAGGGATTCCACCTAAAGTTGAGCAGGGGCAGTGCAGATGGGAGAAGCTGAGCCCTAGTCCCGTCTCCAGCCCCCTCACTCCCTACACAAATGGGCCTGAAATCCAAACCACTCATTTAGACGCTGTCCAAGAGATCTTTTATTGACTGGTATTATGGCGGCCCGAAAATACAGGCTAGTGGCAATGGGCTGAAAAAGGGGATAATTAAGACCAGTTTAACTATTCTGGGGTTTTATTTTCTTAATTTAAAAAAAAGATTTTGTTTATTTATTCATTAAGGGTGGGGGGGAGAAACACAGGCAGACAGAGAAGCAGGCGCCATCCTGGATCCCAGGATCATACCTGGGTGGAAGGCGGATGCCCAACCACTGAGCCACCAGGCGTCCCGCTATTCTGGAGTTTTAGAGGGAATAATACATCCTGGCCTGAGTGTTTAGGGTAAGGGTGGAAAACTTTCTATCAGACGAGGAATGGTATTTTGGATAGGAGTGCTTGGCCAGTGTGTAAGGAGGAGCTGAAGCTAGAAATACAGTTGAAGAGCCAGCTGGAAAGGGCCTATTGTGGCAGACTGAGGAATCTGTCACTGATTTGCCAGTGGCCCCTGATCAGGCTTTGTCTGGAGTAGGAGAAACACTCATGTTCGTTTAAAATACAGCAAGATGTGAGAGTGGCCCTTTGACTGCTTTGGGAGACAAAACAGAGGAGCTTCTTCTCCTTACTCACTCTGGAGGACTGTGGCTACCTGGAGACTGTGTGTTTGCCCCTGTGGGTGAGGTAGCTTGCTGAGGAACAGTGGCTCTTTTCAACTCCTATGATGGGTGAGAAGTGCCAGGTTCTCAACATCTGTCATTTTCTCAGTATGTTTCTGGAAACATGATCTGTGGGAAGAACTGTGAAGGACACTGATTTACAGATGTGGCATCTTTAAGTTGGGATATCTTGGATGCATCCCTCCTCCACCCCATAACAGGCACCAGTAGTCAGGGAGGGGCGGCCCTCCAGCCCCTAGCTCCAGTCACTGGCTTACTTTTCATCCATCTTTCAATTTTCAGTTTTCTTCACTGGAGAAAAAGACCTCTTCCTCTGAATTATAAGGTCCTCTTCCCTGAGTTATAAGGTCCCATTCAGTGGGGCAGAGGCAGCAGCTTAACTGAAAGGAAGAGCAGACTCAGGAACCAGACAGACCTGGGGTTAACTTCCAGCTTTGATTTCTAGGTGTTTGGTCTTAGGCAGGCAACTCCACTTCCCTAAACCTCTCATATCTCCTTGGTAAAATGTGGACTGCCACAGTTACAGGTGAGGATTCAACGGTAAATGGTCACATCATAAAGATTCAATTTGGTAGTTTCTTCTTTCTCTTTCCTGTGAACTCCAAGGTTTGTTTTTGTTTGTTTTCTTTTCCCTTCTCTACTTTCTTTCATTCCTTTTCTTTTTGTTTTTTAAGAGAAGTAGGCTGTAGCAACTCTTGTGAGTTCTGGAGTCAGAGCAGCAAGGTTTGAGACCTGGCCTAGTCATTTATTGGCCATGTGACCTTGGGCCATTTAACTTGTTTGTGGCCTGGTTTCCTCAATTGTAAAATGGGACTAGTTAAGTAAGTGAATGTACATAAAAGTGCTTGGAACTGTTCTGTGGACTCAATAAATCTTTACACTTATTATTAGAATGTAAGAGAGCTTATAACCTAAAGATGAGGACCAGGAGCCCAAATCTCCCTTTCCCAGCCCAACTCTGAGTGGAGGAGACAGAAGCTCCCAGAGACTTAAAAATAACTGCTGTCAAGAGGTTCTAGTACCCAATTGGAAAGGACGGGTACTGATAAGGCAAGAAGGAGGGAGTGTGGGGGGGAAAGACAGATAGGCCTGGGGCAGCTCTAGGAAGCTGGTAGACGCCCAGGCTTATTCTAGAGCCGACTTAAAACAACAAGACACATACATGTAGGGTTTCCGTAGGCAGGAGGGAGAGGAAGAGAACACAGGAAAGAGTTTAAGGGCGCTTGCCACCTTTGCAAGCACTGGCTTGGACCCGGCACCGCAATTGAGCGAGGCGGCCCTGCCCGTTGGGCCGCCAGCCCTGGGGCCTTGGGTCCGGCGCGCGCACACGCGGCGCTTGCTGGCAGGCGGGTGGGAGCAGGGACCGACCGACTACAACTCCCGGCACTCACCGCGGCGGGCGGGACGCTGCACCTGCTCAGTGGGGCCGCCCCGGGCGCCTGGGTATTGATTATTCCATTGTGTGGGACGCCTCGGCTCCAGCCAGTGAATGAGGCGGAGGAGTGAGGGCGAGGAGGAGGAGGAGGAGGAGGAGGAGGAGGGCGAAGAGGAGGAGGAGGAGGAGGGCGAGGAGGAGGAGGCAGGGAGCGAGCGAGTGCCCAGGGTGAATCAATGGAAACCCCCTCACGAAGCCGGGAAAACACTTCAGCCGCAGCCAAATAGCATTGATTATTTTCCTTCACTTCCCTCACCGCCGTGAATTTATTTATTTATTTTTTCCATCTCCGTCCCTGACGCCCCGGAGTGAGCGCTGGAGGGAGGGAGGAGGAGGGGAAAAAAAAAAGGAATCAACACATCGGAGAAGTCCCTTCCAAGAGCCGCCCCCTCCCCTCCCCGCCTCGCGCTGCTCGGCGGCCGCGGTTCGACTCCCGTCCCTGCTTCCAGCTGAGGTGTAAGTGCATCGATTTCCGATGCTGCTGGGTTGGTTTTTTTTTTTTTCTCCTCTCCCTCTCTCTCTTCTTCCTTTCCTTGCTCTTTGGAAGCTGGAGACGGAGGAGAGAGGAGGCGCTCGGAGACTGCCGCTGGAGGGCACGGAGAGGGACGGGAAGGGGTTGGGGGAGGGGACACGGACGGACGGACGGACGGACCAAGAGCTTGAGGAGAAGGAGGGGCAGGGGTGGGGGGGAGGGGGCGTGCGAGTGAGGATGGTTGGGGGAGAGGGAGATGCAGGGGTGGAGGGAGAGACGGCGAAGGGAAAGGCATCGAGGCTGGACCTAGAGCCAGCCGGACAGACGGAGGGTCACGAGAGCCTAGACTGACCGCGCCGAGCTGTGCGGGGAGCGGGGGTCCCGGAGGGAAGGGGAGGCCGGGTGAGTGCGGGCTCGGAGCTGTCAGCCCGGAGGGGCCTGGGTCTCGGCTGCCCCCCGCCGGCTGCGGGATCGGAAACCGCGGTAGGCGGGCGGCTGATGTACGGGCTAGCATGCTGCGGTCCCGGGTGGGTGGGAGGAGACGTGGATACTCAATCTTCCATCTTCGTTTTTGCCTGAAGTTGAGCTTTTTTTTTTTTTTTTTTTTTTTGGAAAGGTGCGAGTAGGTAAGGGGAGGCCACTGCTCCACTCAAGGTGAAGTGTGTCTCTCCTGGCCCCTCAACTCTCCATCTGCTCTGCTCTTGTCTGGCACCCTCTCAGAGTGGCCCTGTCATTTTTGAGCACTGGACCATGAGTGGCCTCGAGGTGCCTGTAGCCTCACTGATCTCTGTCCATGTGTCCCGGCCTCTTGATTTTGCCATTCTTCCCCCTCCTTCATTCTCTCCATCCATCCATCTCTAGGTCTGTGTGTCACTGTCTCTGCATGTGACTCTTTCTATCCGAGTGATCCTCTCCCTGTGTGTCCCTGTCACTATGTGTCACGCCTTGGCTGCCTGACTGGTCTGCCCGTCTAGGACTCCGTGCCCTCTCCTTCAGAGTCCTTATGATATCTCTGGCCTTTTCAGGCTACTTTTTTCATGCTTATCAGTCATGATTGTAGTAGTCACCAGTCAGGGGCCTGGAAAGAGTCTGAGGGATGGGACAAATGTGTCTCCCCGAAGGACTCAGGTACCCTTTCAGCACAGCTACGACAGCATCCTCTTCTATCTCCACCTGGGAAGATTTGGAACTTCTAGCATTGTTGACTATCTCCTTTGCCATGTGCCTGTCTCCCCAATCAGGACCTCTAGTCTCCTGTGTATCATCTGCCTTTCCAGGAGCTTTCCACCACCAACGCCTTCCTTGCTGACTTGATTTCCTCCTTTCCCTCATTTTGCCATTGTATATTTTTTCATTTCCCCATGTTGTTTCACCCCGTTTTTGCATTTGTCTCCTGTGATCTCCCTTGCCTATTCTTTACCGTTGTTCCCATAACCTGCCCTTTGCCTACCTTTTCTCCTTGGTCACCCTAATTTCCTTTTATCCCTTTATCCTCTCACCCAGCATTTTAACCTCTGCAGCAGAAGGTACCAGAGAGCAAGGGCGCTGGGAGAGGTGGGGAGTATGGTTTGTGCAGGCACATAAATAGGCCAAGAAATCAATTTAATGGGCTTCCAGGGGCATATAACCCCTTCATCAGTCAGGGCCATTATGTCCATTAACTGTCAACTTTGATTTTGTAAGGGGACATTCTCTAGGACTCTGAGCTCCACCCTGCTTGGTTGCCTCTCATCCTTCAGTTCATTCTAGATATTAGTGGCTTTTTCTTCACTTTCTAGATCATCTTCCTGGGCCCCTGTTATTATCATATTTGAATTCAGCATGATCCTTTAGGAGGCTGTTTTCATCATATGACAGAAGCTATCTTATGCAAGAGGCCAGGGTTAAAAATGGGAAAGGGGGATTAAAGAGTCTGGAGAGTTTACCTTGTTTTAAGCCCATCATTGTCTTCCCACCCTCTGAGCTTGGAAGCGCAAGAGGTGGAGGTAGATATGGGCATAAGATGGAAGATTTCCGAGGTTAACAGTGTTCAGAAAGGATTTGAGGAATGTGCAAAAGGAAGGGAAGAAAATCCATGTGGAATGGGGGCAGGGAAGGAACCGAGGGGTGATTAATGAAAATTGGGAGAATGAAATAAAACACGAGTTATGGACAGAAATGATAGAGCATTCATTCCTAAAGGCAACAGAAAAGGCAATATGCAGTGAATACAATGGTAAAGTGGGGGAAGGGAGGAATTGAAG